GGCCCAAATTCAAACAAAAGTGAAGGCATTGCGAGCCCAATACAAGCTGATAAAAGATCAGTTGAAGAAGAGTGGTTCGGGCACGTCTGGTGTAAAATCTTTGATTGCGATCCACCCAATCACACGCGAGTATATCAAATCCCATGAAACAGAGTTGGCCAAACTCTCTCTCTACAGCTCTGCTGTTTCGACTTTCATAACTTGGAAGTCAATCCAACTAGTGTGACCGACCCAGAATTTCGAGCCTGGCTTGAAATCTCACCCGCGGTGAGTCAAGCCAGGCTTGAGACGCTAGTGTGACCGTAGCCACTAACTTCTTTCCAAATCACCTCCTACTAGGTACCCATTTATACTCCTAGGTGAAGAGAGACGAAAGCAGATTAAAGTATCTTGCCCAAGGACACAAGCAGTGTGACAAGCATCGGTCTCAAATCCCCAACCTTCCGATTGAAAGCCCAAAGCACACTGCACAAAATGCTTCAGATCATTAAACTAAGTACCGTTATTATTTACCTTATCAGAAAAAAAGCAAGTTATTTAATTTTGCAGAATGTTATTTGGTCCAGACCAAATATACTGTACTCAGGGACTTATCTTGAGTATATCATGAGTATCTGTTTTATTAATTTTGTCATCCCATAAAATTGTATGGCCTGCAATATCTTTACAATTCATTTCCATGGCAACCCACTTAATATATTTCGTAGACACATTGTGATTGGTAATTGACATGGTAGCTCTTATCTTGTGTATGTGAAATCATTACTGTATATACTGTAAAATGTACTTTGATCATGTCATTAAGATCATGAGTAGATTTCCTGTACGCATAAGAACGAAACGTTACTGATCTTATGAACGTGCTATATAAATGTCACACTATATTTAATTAATAATTTAACAACAGAGAATTAATGATTATTTAATATTTATATGAAAGGCATTTTGGTGGTGGCTCCCTGTGTAAAATCATAGCAAATTGGAATATAGAAGAAGAAAAAAAATCAAATAAAAAACAATGGCATCTTTTGCTAACACAGAAAAAGTCAAAACAATAGCTTTTCCGATGTCGTAAGAAAGCCTACATATAACAAACAGTTACATTTTAAATTACAATAAATATTAAAATAATAATAATAATTAATAAATCATAAACTGTTCAATAAATAGGAGTTACTGTACCAATCTACAGGAAATTATAATGGCACCTCTAGATGGCCGGAAAAAGCACTCTTAGACTCAAAATTTGAGTACAATTTTCCTCTTTTCTCAATTTTTGTTAAATTTTGAAAAATTTTAGGAGGGGGAGGGCGGGGGTGGGCCAGCTGGAATCCACCCCCCTTTGAATCCGCCACTGGACATGACTATTTAAATGGAAAGACAGTTTATGTTGATTAGATAGTGCCATTAGAAGGGCCAGCTTTCCATACATCTAGCCTATAACTATTTCTTTGGAAACAAATGGAATTTATGACTGACTCCTTGTGTTGTGCCAATTAAGAACCATTGTATTACCTCACAAGATTAATATATCCACCAAATAGGTGATACTGTAGGTTAGCCCATAGCCTAGGGTGGTGTTCCAAAACATCATTTTGAAGTTTAGTAAGGGGTCATCCATAATTTTCAACATTTTCAAAAGAGTACAAAACATACTCTTTTCTGTGACCCCCTCCCTCCCCCTAAAAGAGTACGCAAAAAAATGTTGATTTGTATCTTATTGGGATCAACATTTTATCTTTTTCATGAAAGAGTACTTATGCCTACACTTTCTACACCCTACCCACCACCAAAGCGTATGTTTTGTACTCTTTTGAAAATGTTGATAATTATGGATGACCCCTAAGTGCATACTGTAGACTGGTAGCCTGATCGCGCTTCACTTCAGTTTCACGTCGGCCACTGTTTATATGAAAGGCATTTCGGTCGCGACTTAACCCAAAAAATGTCAATTGTACAGAGCAACAAATAGGCTTGTGAGTTTATTTCCATGTTTGATATCATGTGGTATATGTTTTTTTAATGTTATTTCCATTTCATTTGTCATAATGTCATTTCTTTTATTTTCATTTCTAAATGCTAAATTGTTTCATTTTCTTACAGCTCATAGAAGTTTTTAAAAAAAATACAGTAGGCTTTTGTGGATAAAGAAAAAGCGATAACGAGGCTGTAGTGAGTCGTAGACGAAACAAGACAAAATAAAGATGTTTAATACTTGTAAAAACTTTCATTTTCATGTTCATCTTGGACTTTTCTTGATTCACTTAAAATTAAATGATTTTAAGCTTTTAACATAAAAAAAATGTCACATTATAACAAAGTAAATGTCAATAAAGATTATGTATGAATTAGGACACATTTTCACACTGCCATCGCATGTGTTTGTACCTAAAAATTGCCTGCCGGATCATCTATCATAAATATGATTTAAAATATATTGTACTGTAACAGTGTAAGTAAATGGAAACACAACAGATGAAAAAAAATGTACCAATCGACTTATTTATGGTGGTCACACACACAGGCCTAGGCCTAGCTAGTCAGAATATTTGGGTCGACTCAAAGGAATAGATATTTGGTGTATATCTTACCAGCCTGGCATTCATCGGGTATGTATGATGACTACTACGGGCCTAGGCCTTAGTTCTAGTCCCCTAGCTAGGACCAATATCATTATGTCGATGAGATGAAAGATCATTTTTGAACCCCCATGTGGCCTAGCCTGGGCGTATATACCTAGGCCTAGGTAGGCCTAGGCCTAGGCCTAGCTTTGGACAGAGCTTTCAGCAAAAAACCAAAAGCTGTTTTACACACACTCATCCAAATTTCTAAGTCATAAACATGTCAAAATAAACTTACAACGTATCCTTGAGAACGTTTTAACAGTGATTAAATCGCAGGCATTGTCAGCGTAAAAACACAAATAAACAGCATACCATACTCCATTATTTATTGATAGCAACCGCAAGACAACGCCCTCTATACTCGGAGATAATAATCAATTCTATTCTCGGATCATTAAACATCAGTTCTTTAATGTTAACATTAGGCGAGACTTGTTTTATATCTTGTTTCGTGAACTTATATTTTTCAAGATCGTTAAAGAAGGGCTGTGAAAATATAGATACCATTATTTTTTTTTCATTAGGAAATGGTTTTGCGAAAAACATCTAGATGGAGGAGAAAATCCTGTAAAAATAAAATTGGAATGGTGAATGTAAACTTGGGATGGTTAAATGCTATATAATATTTTTTATCACCATTGTTGAATAAACATAAAGAAAACTTCTTTTTTTTTAATTCTTTCTGTTTTCTGGAGATTTCAAGACAGCGGTGGCGGTAATAAAAGTAAAGAAAAACAGTTTTTTTTTTTAATTCCTTCTTTTTTTTTGGCGGCGGGTGCGCTAATTGGCCAAAAATAAAATTTTATTCTTATTCAAAATCATCTATCATTATTGGCGGGCGGCGGGTTCACTAAACAAGGTTTAAAAAGAAATCTCGCCTTACAGTGAGGTTAGATGATTTTTTTTTAACGAAGTCCAGTTTAATTGAAAACATCGGCCTAGACCTATTATTTATAAGCCTAAATTCTACTTAATTATTATTATCACCAACAATGATATTTTGATTTGTTGCTGCAAATTTGTATCTGCTAAATAACAATTATGAAAGATTCACTTGAAAATGGCAATTGTCAAAATGTACAAAAAAGATACAAAACTCTCAGCAAGAGTAAGAAGTCTGACCTCAACGATTATAAACTTTCAAATTTATTAATATTATTATTATTTAAAAAAATACAGATTATCGACCAGTGTGCTTTCAGGGAAAAGCTCAATTCTCCCTTCCACAGGGCCCTCCTATTTAACATCCCAGCAGCAAAGTTGATAATGGTTGAATATGTCAACAATTCCTTTTAAATAGCAGCACTGGCTGCCTAGTAAAACTGGTCACTTTGTTAAAGAAGAAAATACATTGCCGACATATGCAAAGGCCCAAATTTTCTCACCCCCGGGTCCCATGACTCGTCGTTATGGCTAGTTATAAATATTTACAAAATAACTCCATGATCAAGTCATTCCAATTGATTATAATCACTGGCGTTTTTTCTAGTCTTGAACGGGGCCTGAGAGGTTGGGACGAATGTGGAGTGGGGGACCCGTTGATTAAATGAGGGACTCGATGATCAAGTGTGGTCGGAGTCGGGACGCTCGCACGTGGTTTTTTTACTACACCAACTTGACGGCTATTTTTGCTTCAGACATTTTAAATGGGGAGAGCAGGTGGGTGGGGGGGGGGGGGGTGCTTGCAGTTTGGCCAGATGTAAGCAAACTCCTAGATACGCCACCGATTATTATACTTATGGCCTCCTATAGGGAATTTCCTGGGCCTAATATAGCATTTTCGTGTAAGGCCCAATAAAAGTAATTGCTAGTTTCACGTCCCAGCCCTCATCGAAGTTTGGAGCCTCATGAAAAAATTTACTATTTGCTATTTTTCAAAAAACAAAAAACACTATTTTCCATCGACAATAAATAATGACTATCTGAAAGAATGATGTGGGAACATAAATGGCAGACATACATTACAAAGATTCCTTTTACTTCTTTCATAAAAAAAAAAAAAATATTATTTACCAGCATGTTTACCATTAGTATATAAGGTCGTAAAAAAGCAAATATTAAATACACTCACCAAAAAATGATTTAAAATGCCGGACGTGAAACTAACAATTAATTTTATTTGGCCTAATCTAGCGTAACAAAAGGCCTACCGATAGAAAACCTACTTTAGCAGATTAAATGGTTATCTTTTTGACCGGCGGTCTATTATTAATATTATTAGTAGTTTTTTTTTTTGTTTTTTTGTTTTAAATTATCTACACATTCTGTTGACATAACGTGATCACCACAAATTACGCCATATCTTTCCCGATCAAAGAGGCCGTTCAAGCGTAGCTCATACATATGCACGATTCATGACACCAGTATTGAGTCTGCTCACTCAAGGTCGCGAAGCGTTTATTTACAAGTGTGGTTCGAAGAACGAAGTGATCTCAGCATCTTCAAAGAATCGTGTTAAATTTCTCTGGATATTTCTCACACTTTAGAGAATTATAGTTAAAATTTAAGGTATGTGTTTTCTATGCTACCAGTTACATTATTCTGGCAATCACCTAGACAGTGGTCTTATTATTTCTTAGAACTCAGGCTGCTGCAATTTTGGGTCAGGGTCGGATCTGAGAAGCTTCCTTAGCAACGCGTATTTTGACAGTAATACAGTAATGTCGGCATATTTATTCCAAAAAGGAAATCCAAAAAATGTAGGCCAACAATAATGCAGGCCTGCTGATGTATATTATTTATATATATCTATTTGATTTGTTAGCTCAAGGAGGTATGTTAGATCCAACAAAAATTGAAGGCGAATATAGGTTTTAATTTAGGTTAGCAACGATCTGTTTACAATGTGAACCCGATATAAACAGGTCATGTCTGTCGCTACGATCAGGTTTAAATGACGTTAATATCTTTTGTCGCCAGGTAGCTACAATGTTTCTATCAAACACTTTTACCGAATTCTTTATTGATTCCATAATAAAGCAAAACACGGCTTTGTAAATCATGCTCGCAGCAAAATCAGCCAATACTGTACAGTTGGATGAGAATATGACTATTTTGTAATGATTGTTAGTATTAATTAAGAAACCATTTGGAAATATCTTATACAATAAAGAAAAAGAGAAAAGTAAGTAAAAAATCGCCCAAAATGCCTCAGAGTTTACAGTATTTTCGGTGTAGAAAACACTAAGGTGGTGTTTATCTTGATCTGCCCCACTTCCCACTTTCGGCCCTCCTCTCGGCCCCCACCCCCTTTTCGGACATCTCTGGATCCGCCCCAGAGTCTCCCTTTTTGTTTATTTTGCAGCTGCATATTTTTGTTTTAACAGTCTTCCCTTTCATGTTTGCATACAGTACATTGAATATATGGTGGTAATTTTTCGCTGCTTCGAGACGCTTTTTGCCTAGGGTTCAGCTGGTAGAATCAAGTCTTCTCGGATAAGGACTGGTGGTCCAGAGTTCACTTTAAAGAACTTTGCATCTTTTGGAAGAATAGGTGGTTACCCCGATGCTATGGTTCATTTCAGCCCCTGTCGTTGTGGAATGATGTGAACATGTACATGTACTGTAGCCACTATAAGCCCTTTTTATGGCGGCTAGGTAGTCACAGACCATGCCATGTGCCCAAATTCTCCTACCTTTAAATTTCCAGTAGTGGATCAAACTTTTTATGAGGATGTACCCCCGTGTTTCGTTTACTGACAATTCTAAGGTCAATTATTGCACCATTTAACAGCATTTTTGGATTAATAATCTAGTCAGGAACTGACACCATGTATTTATATTTTTTTTTCAACAAATAATTTAATAAAAAATATAAACTAAAGCTCTACATTTATGATATTCATTATTCTTTAGATTTGAAATGGATTCCTGTAGACGAGAGGTTGCTCGTTTGAAGGAGCGTTATCGTGTCCTACAGCAGCAGCAGTTCACGTTTGTCAGCGCTATGGATAATACTCGACCAGATGCGTTTCAGCGTGCAAAGCCAGTACGAACTATCAATGAGGTAGGCCTCCTGTATTAAGATACTGGGGATAACATGACCAGCATTGATATCAGACTCATAACCATCAGTTTGAAAGTAAAAAGTATGCTAAGCTGCTACGGCTACTGATGTTACAGGACTTAGCCACTGTTGTGTACGCTGAACCATGGAGATCTTTAACCTTCTTGGTTCAATTCCATATGCTTTTCCTCTTGATCTCCTTGTGTTTTAGCTCAGAAAGGCTGAAATGCAAGTTTAAATAAAGCACCTTTTTTTTGGATGAGATGTTGAGCCATTTGATCTTGTGTACAGTAGGCCTATAGCCCACCCTCTGTAATAAATTAAATATAAACGTTTTCTCTGGAATTTCTCTGGCTGTATGCCTACTGCCCAATTATCACTAAAACTCCCATCCTGTGTATAATAAATTTACAGTGATAAAAATAAAAATCCCATTAAAAGTTGATTTTTATTTTTTGTTATTGATTTTTATAATTTTAAATATATAAAATACAATAAAGCACTATTTATCACTTTCAGCTTAAGCAATATAATTACTTATAATGCTAAATGTATATATTTTACTATGTAATACAGTTAAACTTTTAAACAAATTCGACTTTGCCTAACTCAAATAATTTCCAATTATGTCAAATTTTTGTGTTTTCCATTAAGGATCTGTAAGTCAAATTTTATCCAAGTCAAACAAATTTTCAATGCCATTTTGGATTCGACCTAATAGGCAAGTTCAACTGTAGTTTTACTATCTCTTAATAGTGTTATGAATTTAAATCATTTTAACATGATACCAAAACCAGTGGGTTATTTTTTTTTGCAGGTGAGTGTCCTACATGAACGCAGCAAAAATGCGACTGATCGCCGAGCCATGAAGCAGTGGCTGGACTTAGTAACGGCTCTTACCAATTTGTGCAGGCAGGTGGAGTTGCAGGGTCAAGTAGCAGTGCCAGCTGAGAGGGCGCTAGAACGATGGAGTATGCTGATGGATAAGCACAACGATCTGTCAAACTTGCGTGCTAAATATCCTCATCAAGAGGTAGGCAAATATTACATAATCATCATTCAATATATCGACCTTTACATCCAGAGGCGTAACACATACGAGCTCAAGGGGACCGTGTAGGCTGGTTTCTTCCTGGGGGTTACGAAAAATGTGCGGATGCAGACGGGGATACGAATGCAGAAATCCCAGAATGTGAAACTAATCCAATGAAAACTTAATGGTCATTTTTAGTATTTTAATCTACTTAAAATTGGAACTAATTTGCTGCCATAGGGAATGTGTCTGTATCTCTGCACCCCCTCCTCCCTACCCCAGCCTACGCCCCTGAGCTCTCACTGTCTAAATCAAAATGCCTCAGACCTTAAGGGCCCTGGGATTAGTCAGGCATGACCATGGGCCTAAAACAGCTGAATGGGCCTGGTTACTTAATGAACAGAAATTGTAAAATTAAAAATCCATCAAAATCCCTTAAAATGCCAAAAAAATGCTGAAGCAGCTTCACCCCGTATCCTTTTGGGGCCCTACACATTCCCAGGGTAGTAGGGCCCAAAAAAGCCTTAGCCAGTGGCCTCATACTCCATAGGCCTCTTATGCCACTGATAACATCATGAATATCAAAATCATCAAGAGCTGTCAATGATCACATCATTACCATCATCGACTTGTAATTTTAAGTTGTCATCCCAAACCTTATAACTTTCTACCAAATCTATCCATCTGTGAGTTCCCTCCTGCAAACCCCCTCCCCCAACACCTTAAATTATGTTTCCTGATTTAACTTTATAATCATTAATTTTGATTTGTATCTTTATAATATTGGTTTATATTGATGGTGCTTATCTTTATCATGGATTTCCATATTATTATAATTATTAAATATTATTATTATTATTATTATTATTATTATTAATATTATTATCAGTATTTAACTTGTTGCTGTATTATGAGATTGAGAATAATTAATATAAATACAGTATCCATCACCCATCACAGGTTTGTACTGTATAATGTCATACAGTAATAGTGAGTTTCTATGTTAAATGAGTTATCATCAATGGATTAGATTATTACATTATTTTACCACAGATGAACCACCTTAGCTGTGCCGAAGCTCGTATCCAATATGGTGGCGTGGTCAGCCTTCTACCTATAGCATTTGAGCAGGTGGACCGAACTGTTGCGGCATTAGCAGCTGCTAGGCCTAGCGTAAGTCAAAGCAGCCATCGAGACAGGCTAGTTAAAAGTGCGTCCATCCCAAAATCCAATACAGTAGGTAAGAGTGACTGAAGTTAACATAAAAATATATAGTACAGTATATGATTAATATAGTAATTAGTTATAATTATATAATATGGCCAACAAAAACTCCAATTCCTACTTGGCAATTCCCCTTTATATGTCAGTTTTTATGAATTGGAAATTTGTTTGGTGTAATACTTACCATATTTATTCAAATAAATGCCCCATTTTGGAATAAACATCCTTCTCGAATAAATGCCCTGGGTATGTTTATATTTCCTCGAATAAACACTTCCCTCTAAATGACTGTAAACAAAACTAATGTAAGCAACATCATTCTCAACACATTCTATTAATTTGCAGTAGAATTACATATTTAACCTGGTTGAGATCAACAATCTTTGATCACACAATAACACATATTGATGTTAATTAGATGTTGTAGTTCCACATTTGCAGTGAAATTAAGGGGCGTTTATTCGAGTACAGTATATATACATACCCATTTTACACCCTAAAAGCCTCCCTCGAATAAACACCTTCCTATAATAAATGCCCCCTTAAACACCTTTCTCAACAATAAACGCACTGGTGCTAGAGTATCTAAAAAATTATTCACTAAAAACCTTTTTATATTTTTCTTATAGAATTTGCAAGAGACCGAAAGCGACCAAGCACTGCCAGTAGGAATGGCCTAAGATCTAAATCATGTGACAAAATGGTTGACACCCATGATCTACAATGTCACACAATGAAACTATCGTTAAGTCGTCTGCCAAAAGGTGTTGACCCCACAATGCTGTTCTACCGGCGAACACTCAATGGGCGTGCCGACAAGTATTATCCAACTGGTGAAATCACTTTAGACAAGGCCCCATGGAGGGGAGCGTCTTACAATAATGTAAATCATATAGACCATAGGCATTTCAAAAACTTGGAGGAAAAGTACTATTAGATAACGTAAAGAAAGTGATCACTTACCCCTCAATAATACAATACATTATGTTTCACCCTCAATACATGCATCAACATTAACATCATACATAGAGATTCAAATAATTAATTTATTAACAAAGGACATTATCAAACATGCAACAATTCTTGACACTTATCTTATGGTGATACAATGCCACCATAATTATTAACACCTGACTGCAGTGGCGTATCTAGGAGTATTGAAATGGTGGGGGGAGGGGGTGCGAAGATAAAGTGGGGATTCAATTATTAGGTAGGTTGGCTCACAAAATAAGGTGATTTGAAGTGATTTTTAACTATTTAAGTGTGGTTTTTTTGCTTCAAACATTTTCATTGGGGAAAACTGGGGAGATGCAAGTATTGGGTGGTTGTGCCCCTACCCACCCCCTAGGTAGCCCACTGCCCGACTGTACATCTAAATTTACATTTTAAACAAAACACCAGCCTTTCTCACTATACTATACACTGATAGTTACACCAGTAATATTTTATTAGATTTAACACATTTTCTTTGTATGTTGTACAGCTAAAATATTGTCAATTTGCTAGTAAAGTGGTTTGTTGATCATGAGTAGGCCTTTTCCCCTTGAACCAGTGGTTGAAGCTTTGCAGCCTCTTTTCCCACCAGAAATTGTAAGACCCCAACAGGTCCTACAATATATGCTTTGATTAGAACCACCACTGAATTCAAGTTGTCCAATGGGCACAAGGCAATCACATAAACAGACGATAGTACAGTAAAACAAATGTTTGATAGTAAAAAATATTTAGATATTCTTATTCGAGACCACTTTTGGGCAGGCCTTTGCTTTCAGACTTTAATGGTATACAGTACCTTTGCACTACAAGATTGAAAATTAGTTCGAATTTGAGGGATCCCTGATTTAGAAGGGTTTTAAATTGTAAGGTGTATTCCTTAATTTTTACTTTATATGGAACTTATAGAAAAATATTTTAATATTTGTAAAAAAAAAAACTGAATCCCTTACCTTCTAATTTCATGTACTATTAATATTTGCCAATGTATGTCTGTAGCTATTTGTTAATATGATATTAGATAAATTTTGCTTCATATAACACCATCTGTTGGTGATGAGCTAGTACTGTGTAAATGTTTATACAATATGTATAGCTATACCAAAGGACCATACAAATAGTAACTAAATGCTTCTCAAATATGCATGGCCGTATTCAAAACATTCCCCCTCCATGACCATTTAACCAAATATTAATACCATTTCAGTTCAAGTATATATAATTATATTTTCTAGCATGTCCCCTGTACCTAAAGTGTGTGACTTAGATTAAGGTTGTAGAACTAAACTTTTACCATAGAAAGTTATGAATATATATATTTTTTTAGTTGTAAAGATCATTATATATGCGAGTACACATTCCGTATATGATTTTTCTTACTGTTTTTCTCATGTTTACTTAACAGTATAATGTTTTAACTTTAGTATTTTTTTTTTCAATTGTGTGTGTCTGTATCTAATTTATTAGTTTGATATATTTTATGCGTACAGAAATATTAATCAGTGGTGGATTCAATGGGAGGGTGATAGCTGGCCAAGGAATCCCCTATTTTTTTTTTAAATTAAAAAACAAAATGGAGAAAAATTATTTTCAAATAAGTCTAAGAATGCAATTTCCAGCCATCTATACATTGCATAATCATACATCTTCTTACCTCAGTCCCATGGCCGGGCTGAGGTGGTCTAAACCGTCCATTTCTAAAAGTGCCCCCCTTAAAGCTCCCTCTATTTTGAATTCCTGGATCCACCACTGTAAATACATGAGTCGCATAGGGAAGTTGGTCAAGATAGTCTGTACCCCTGAACCATGGAGATCTTTTTGCCCCGCGTTCTATTCCATGACACACATCCCTCTGAAGTACAGGTTAGCCATATAGTGCACAGATTTTGTGGCTACAATTTCCTATAGTTTTTTACTAATTGACATTTTTCTGCCCACTTCCATAGCTATACCAAAAAGGATGTATGGAAAGAATGTAAAAATTAACATATGTTAATATGTTGTCGCCTTCTGATAGTTTCTGTTTCTTTTAGCTCCCTTGTCCAAGCTGCTGTTTCTATGTAGGACTATGCTATGATGTCATCACATCTTTTCTTTTTACCTCTTTTTCCCTGTCCTCATTATGTTATTACAGTAGATTACTTTTATTTTATTTAATTTTAGTTAACTTACAAAGTTATCAATATTTATTTGTTCAGATGTATTGATGTCAAAACATCACTAAAAGATATACCGTCTGTCATAAACTACAGTAGAAAACCCTTCCAAATTTCAATAGCTCAAATAAAAAGAAGGGACTTGATCGTCAAATAAGATGTTAGAAAAAAAACCATATCAAACCAAATATAGTTATACAGTTTTACTGATTTACAGACCTATTAAAAAAATAAATAAATTGACCACCAGCCAATTTAAAGGCCTATGCAAAAGAATAAGAAATATATTTTATAAAAATGTTTTATCATTCCTAATTAAATGCTAATTATTTGGCCTACTTTAAAAAAAAAATAGACAGTATATCTTTAATATGTTATATAGTAATTGTGTTTATCGTGTTCATTAATAGTCAGAGAATTGCAGGTGATAAATTTATAGTTGTACCAGAAATAGAGGTGTCTGTAAAATTTAATGTGTTTGCCACAATGCAGTGGCATTAACATGCAAGGTCTATAAATTATTTGGCTTGTAATTACAGAATTGTATATTACATAAAGAACAGAGCACTTTTCTTTAGCACAACAAATTGCTATGCTTAAATGGGCAGCAATTTCCTTCAGTAAACCAAATACTCTTACACAGCTGCCAGATTTTATAAAGTGAATCATGCCAATGAGGTCTCTATGTAATTCATGTTATTACCCCAGTCATTGAATAAAAAAACCCTGCGGCGGGGTACTGCCAATGGGAGGCTGGGGCCCTGTCGGTGAGAAAAACCCAAAATCGTCGGGGAGAAAAAATATTTAGTGTATGTATTCTACTAAATTGATTATTATAATCCTTTGAAACCCCAAATTGTCAGATTTTAAGCAACACTTGACCATGCCCACTTTTCTCTCATCAGGGACCTTGGACACCCATTGGGCAAATCCTTGCGCCACCCCAGACCTGTGGAAGGGTTTGGCATAGCAGTTGAGACTCACAATCTCAACCCCATGTTTGGGGGTTTGAAACTCGCACTGTGTGAGCTGCTTGTGTCATTGGGCATTACATTTTATCTGCATGTCTCTCTCTAGCTCTACCCAGGAGTATAAATGCTGGGAAAGTACTAAACAGAACACCTGAGGAGTGGCGATCCCCTCAAAGCATTGCACAGTCTGCCCCCAAAGCTTAAAGAAAGAGGGATGAGCACTCCGAACCTGTACAGGTTCGACAATTTTTTCTTCCTCTGGATTCACCATTGCATGTACAATAAATATTATCTTTTGATGATGTTGTGTGATGTACTGTAGTTTAACAATACACATGCTAAGAACCCATAGTCTGGAATTATACAAAATCTGGAGTTTATTATCAATATTTTTCTAGTATACTTGACAATTATTTGGAAGAATTAAAATGTTTTTACTTTCAAAGAGTTAGGAATTGTCGTTGAAATAAATGTTCAATAAAGTAGTGTTTACATTTCATCTTTTTTTTCTGCTTAATAGAGAGTTTTTCTATTGAACAGTAATTACAATGAAATACATGCATTTCTCCGACAGGTGGCTCAACACAACTATATACCCACATCAGCCGTATTATGGTTTGAACAAGGTTAAAAAAAATGAAGCCATGTCACCTATAGATGCCCGAAAATGGCACTCAGGCCAGCTGTTTCTAGCTTAGAAAATAATTCTAATTATTTTTCCCAGACAAATTTTACAACGATATATGGCTGTCCCGGATGTCCCCGGCAGCTGAGCCAGGGCCCAGCTAGACCAACCACTGGCACCACCCCTGAAACATGCATGTAATGCACCTCAATTGTTCACATCACAAGGAAAGGCTATTTTCAATACTTGATTGTCAGAGCATTAAAGGTATAGAAGCAAGGACACAACAAAGGTCACACGCACTTGAAGGCTCTGAAATATGTGCTGATTCCATGGTGTAGACTCTAAGTAAACACTCTTTGGTCAATAATTACACAAAAGTAGTGTACTACCTCTAAGAATTCTTAGGATAAAATTGTCTAAAGTAACTTTGAAGTAAGCCTAATACAAAGACCATGTTCACAGGCACTGCCCAGGGGTTACATCAAGTAGAGTACTGTACTTGCTTGGATCTACATGCCTATGCTTAAACAATAGCTTTCCTTACACCATTGTTTCCTTGTAAAGGTCTTTTTCGTATGCGCAAAGATCAATAACAATCATTGATTTGAGTAAATTATTTATTATTTATTGGCCAATCATGTTACTAAGTACAAGAATTCTTTTTGATTTCTAATTGATTAAGTGTCTTTAAAAAAATGTAGATTTTGACATTCCAAAATAGCACACTTCCCTTTATTAGTAAAAGTAGCAGTGCTAGTCTTCAATAACAGTTTACAAGGTGCAGAGCCAACATTGTTTTAATCTATTTTAGAAATAAAATTGGCAATGTTACAGGAAAGAAAAAGGCAGGGCCAACATTTTAAAGGTAATGTTGACAAATAGTAGGCACACACTCCCCCTCCCCCACATGTGCCCACACATCCCTCTGATTAGATTCTACTGCTACCTTAGTACATTATTACACATTAGAGTAAATACAAATTACATTGGTCATTGTTCCTAAAATAATTCTGGTCATATGATAGGATGTCCAACCAAGGTGGAGTTTCTTCCTTGAACTAATAGTGAAAAAACTTGTTATGCAACTATAACAATAATACTAAATTTTGATGTACATAATGTGTATTAAAATTTAATCTTAAGTATCTTGTTATTTGTTTTGTTGGTAAAACACATTATACTCATCATAATTCCAAATAAAGAACACAGATCTAATTACCGCACCTATAGCATCAGAATATTGGCTGAATGAGCGCATTAAGGCCAAGGGACCTCAATTTAAGGATGTTCCATTATCCCTCATTCTGATGCCTAGGGTCTTGTGTGTTGTATACTCTCCATGAACACCATAGTTAAAAGCTTTATGGCATGGAGCACCTCAGTCTGGTGTATACAATCTCTCTTAAGGAGCTCTTATATTATAATACTGTCCAAATTAGCGCCTCATTCTGATGCCCAGAGTTTAAAGGTTCTGTCGTAAGAGGCGGTTGCAATGTACTGTCCGTCTGTTGAGATATCCATACCCATTATCTTACTATCATGACCGGCCAGGGTTGCTATGGGAGACCATCCAGGGTGCGCCCAGATCTTAGCTGTACTATCATGGGAACAAGTTAGCAGGTAGTCACCGGCTGTGCCTTAAATTAAGGAAACAAGTTGAAAAAAAGTAAGGCAAAGGCAATGATAAAACCTTTGAATGAAGAAACAAAAACAAAGAAATTATAGAAAAACATAAAATTCCTTAACTTTTAAGGTTCTTGCTTGGAACACAACATCCCCCAAGTCACATATATTTACTTATAATAAATAATGATATTATGGGGGTCATACCACACACAAGGACCATGCTCAAATAAAACACAAAATCTATACTGTGATTGGTTAATAAACTGACCTTGAAATTTGACCCCTGATACTAAGTTTTGATGTGCAGGTATGTTATATACTGACTTCCTTTGCCGCAAGTCCCATATCTTCACAGAATTATCTCCACTACCCGTTGCCACTGTGTACCTAAAATTGATTAAAATTATACAATGTACATCATTATTAGTCATACAAAAATTAATTTACATACACCAATTATTTTCAATAGATTGGGCTGACAACCAGAACGTAGCCTGAGAGGACAACCGTTTCAGAGGAGAGAACAGAATGCATAAGTTCAGACATTCGCAGTTAAATTAACCCAACGTCATAATGATATATGTTCTCGGATTCCGGCTCTGAAGCCCGAAACAGAGAAGAAGAGTGATGAAATCGAACCAAGGACCACAATTCAGTGCATACACTTTGGCTACCAATAGTTTAGCCAACTCAGCTTTGCTGGTCTTCACAAAAGTCTTCAATACTTCGCAAATGTACTATAAAAATGGATTTTATTCACAATAACAACAATAATGAACTTACATCAACAATGACAACTTTAGAACAATCATCAATAATAATAATAATAATAATGCAAGAAATCCTACCCATTAGGAGAGAAATTTATCGCAAGGACCGATTGTAAATGTCCCTGAAGAAACATAACACATCGCCCTGTCCGCAAGTCCCATACACGTCCAAATGCATCCAATCCACTGTGAAAAAAATGTTGATAAGTAAATAAATAATTAACAATTTACAAGTTATGTAATGTTACAATATAATAAGAATAACTGTAAAACCCAATTTAAATATAAAAACAAAATATAACTAGGGCATTCATCTTTTGTACCACAATCGCAGGTTCAATTCCTTTACACTTTGAAACAAACAGAAGTGAGGCTTACCCAGTAGCAACCAGGGACCCATCGCACTGAAAGTCAATACAGTATACTTCCTTACTGTGTCCTTCCTGATGGAGAATCTCTTCCTGAACTTCTAAATCCCATAATCTCCAGGATTTATCATAACTGTGGGTAATTAAAAATTACATAAATTAAACCATTATTCTACCATAATACATAGACATTTCCTCTGTATATTAGTCTCTAGTTTTGAGAACGAGAAACATGGGAACTATAAAAAGACCATTTATTCTGGTACCTGTTTTTGTTTAATAACTGAGTTGATTACATGGCAAATCGCAGGACTGCATTGCACAGGGTCATTAAAAAATGACAATAATAAACTATGGTGCTTTATTTACTAGCATGGTGACTGGTTTTGCGATTATGGTGCCTGATTTGTTATTATCAGGGGCGAATCCAGCAGGGGCAGTGGGTTGGGCTGAGGTGGGTGTGTGCATCCCCACTCCCCCGCAGAAAATTGTCTGGATCTGTCCCTGAATAATGGTGTCTGCTTTGGTTGTTACAATTTTTGTATTGGTTATGGTTGCCTGGTTTGTGGTTACAGTGTCAGTTTTGTGCTAATGGTGCTATATTTAGTGGTGCCTGTGGCATGGTGCTAATTCTTGTGCTTATGGTGCCTGTTAAAAAAGTTATACTGTAGTGTCCGGTTTTGTGGTTATTATGCCTTGTTTGGTGGATATGGTGCCTGGTTTCTGTTTTTAATGTGGTAGGTTCAATCCAAAAACTGCAAGTTAGAAAATATGCAGTGCACCTACCATGCTGTTCCTAGAAATCTTCCTGAGGGATGAAACTCTATCCTAGCCACCCTTGCATCATGCCCTTCCACGTTTGCAAGTGGTTCCTCACTGAAAGATAAAAATTCTAGGAATTGATACATTTATTGATATAATGTTATTCAGGACACTATCAAACAACTGATTTCTCATAGACTAAAGCTGTACAGGCTATAGATAGGGTACAACACCAGGCCTGTAGTCAGGTGGGTTCGAGAGGTTCGAAAGAACCCCCCTTTTCCAGAAATGGCCTTTTAAATTATTATTAAAATGTACCGCTTGCATGAGGTTCCTGAAATTAACTCAAAATATTGGAAATTTCGCATTTTTATTGTTATCTCCAGACATCTGAGCGCCAACCAACATAACTACAACAATAAACAGATACAAACAATTTCCTCAACCCACTTAACTCTCAATATCAGGTATATTCAAGAAGCCGAGCAATCCGACAGCAATTCAAACCTGACGCTAACCAGGTCGTACCAGAATCTTAAGCTCAAGAAGCAGAAAACTAGGTGAACTAGTTAGGTAAACTAGTTAAGCTAGTTAACTAGGTAAACTGTTGACTTGTCTAAGTTCCTCTCATTTTACAGACCTGTCCATTGACCACAACTTGACAGAGCCGTCTGTTGCACATGATGCCATGCAAAACATGGATTCATCCCGTCCTACCGTAGCCTCTGGATGGAATGCAATACCACCAACGTTATTCGTGTGGCCTAAAAAATAATTATTAAGAGAAACATAAAGAGAAATATCAACAACAAAATATAATGAAACACTGATGGTATTTTTTGCCTTTTAGTACACATAGCACCCAAAAAAAACCGAAAATATATATTTTTTTACTTTACTGACATTCGTTGCTATCCTATTGATCTTGTAAATAGAAATCCATATTTTAAAACATTTACAGACTTCTCAGGTAGTATGGAACTTCTGTAGTACCTACGGGAATTTTGCCTAATTACGAACATAAATAAATAGACAAAAAATACTAGGGAAACACAAGTCTTCTTAAAATTGCAGGTTTACCAGATAACATTGTTATTGTTGTTATGATTATTTTTATTTTATTTTATTGTTATTATTTTATTGTTATTTGCTTTTTCTCAGTTGGCCTATATTATTCCTCTGTAAAGCGCATAGGGGCAATGTGCAATATGCGCTATATAAATATAACATTATTATTATTTTTTTTTTTTTTAAGCCAAATTCTCTCTTCCCAGAAATAATACAATTTTACAGGAAAATCTATAATTTTTTTTTTTTTTTTTTTTTTATTAAACAGAGAATATTTGTAAAAGTTTCTTCAAAAATGTTGTGTTTGTAAATATAATGGGTACTACTACTACTACTACTACTAATACTACTACTGTAAATAAATACACTACTTGCATATGCTTATATTTTTGTTTTAAATGTATTTTTGTAAGGCCACGACATATGTTTAAAGTTAGTGCTGTAATAGGCTTAATGCACATGATCGACAAAGTTATCAGAAATTTTACTTCACCAATTTGGGATTTCTGTATTAGGCGTAATGGAAATTTTGTATTTACTACAGATATTTGAAGATTTGGTTATTGAAATGCATTTTACTACCTTGAAAAGTCTGCATTCATCAAACTGATTTGTTTACATGGAATATCTCATTCTTTATACGAACATGTGGTGGATGTCAAGGGAGGACCTAAAGGTCTAATCATTTTCACCTATAGTAGCACATTCGCAATCATTTTATTTCTCAATTAAATTTTATATTCATCTTCTCTGCCTATATTCTTTTGGCAGATTTAGTTTGCTAATTTATGAGAAAATCAATTTTTATTTATATTTTTTCACCATCTTCTTTTGCCAATCAACATTATAGAGAAAATGTATCATCAATATTTAAAAAATCATCAACATTATAAACATCATTATTATTACCATTTATTCATCATCAGAAATACACTTACTAAATCAGAACAAATGTGAAATTGAGAAATTAAAATTTATCCAAACCTCTTAATGTTCTAATTGGCTGGAATTCTGGAACGGACCAAAGTTTAATAAGACCAGACCTACAAAAAAAATATAATAACATATTATATGAGGCTTGCCATGCCAAAACCAACAACAGTGATAAAAACATTAAAAATAACATATTCTCCACATTAAAATGATGGGTCATTTACAGAAATTGACTTATTATTGCCAAAGTTATGAGTAAAAGTACAGCATTATGGCTTCTCTGTACAGTATACATACAATACTGCCACATTCTAGCTAATTACTGTATACTCAGTTAAACAATCAATGACAGTAGGCTGGTTTTGGGACGCATCCTCATATGCTATCACTAATGTTTCTTGTCAACAAAACATAAATACAATAATTATTCTACTTGATGACTGAAGCAACTCAATCGAAATGTCATTTTCAACATAAACAACAGTTCTTTTGAGAAATATCTGTGTGGTGTACCGCAAGCACTTTATAATATTTCATTACTTCGCAATGCAAACCTTCAAACAATACAATGAGGATGTCTTCTGTTTTTGTTTTTTTTTGTGGAAGAATAAGTAAAGCAGAGCAACTGTCCCTCTTGTATTTATTTTTAGTAACATACAATTACAAAATCAAAGCATGAAAACAACTGCATAAATTATTCAATTATTTAATTATAATACCAGAAAGAACAGCAATTTTAATTACCATGAAGTCATTGCTAAGACTTGGGAATTTGGGCTAAACCTACAGAAAGAAATCGGTCTGGTATCACCAATCTCACTACCAATTGCTGTTATATTCTGTAAATAAGTCACATTAAAATCAATAGTCACAGAGTATACATTACACTCAAGGAAGTAACAATAATTAAGAAAGTTTGTGTTTTCAAATACCTGCAAATAATAATTCTTGATAATAATTAATAAAAACAAAACATAACTATACAAAAACAATGATTATATTGTAAACAAAATGATAATGAAAGAGATAACAACAACAATAACAACAAAAATAAAAATTACAATTGAGAAAATTTGTTTGATTGCAAGCTGATTTTAATTAAGTGGCTTGCAAAATATTCAGGTAATAAAACGAATGATTTAATATTAAAAATTACTTCAGTGATATGGTTGTGCCTTATACATAAGTCACTTGGTTGAAACTTTTTTTAATCATATTCAGGGGACACCCATATTAAGGGACACTTTTTTTGCTCTGAAGGTGTCCCCTTAGTAGGGGTTCTACTAGATGTATATCGAAGCAGATCCAGAGATGTCCGAAAGGGATCCAAAAGTAGGGCCGATTGAGATAATATCCTAGGATTTCCCGCAAAATTGTTGTGTTCTAGATGCCCAAAAATAACCTCCGAGAGGTTTTGGGCAATCAATTTTTTTCTTTTTTTCCCTTTTTTAACTTTCCAAAAGGGAGAAATTAAAATCTGCCCCTGTATATCATCTTAAGATAAGACATTATATTATATTTAGATGTCTTACCCTTAGTCTGTTATGCAGCTCCTGTTTCTTGGCATGTCTTACTGTCTCTGGTATCTTCACTGCAAGCCGAGACTCTGCAATTCTCTTCTGAGCTCTCGGTAACGAATATTCAGCAATCCACATACGAGCTGATTTTAAACTCTGTGGTCCTTCATGGTACCAAGTTTTATTATTTTCCTACAAGCAGAAGTACAACAATTGTATGAAAACTCGAGGAAAATCACTGAACTGCCCATTGCCTGGCAGTTCAAGGGTGCCATCGAGACCTTGTAAATAACCATTGTAAATAGTTGCACGCACATTGCACTGGCATATAGCTGTCTGGCAGCAGCTGATCACCCCTGTCCAGATACTGTACAGGCTTTGACAAGTATAGAAGTAGAAGTAGATTTGAAAAGATTATTTGTCTTTTTATTTTATATGGTGTTTTGATTACAGTATATATGGTATGTTTGTTCCAATTAACCATCAGTGATACACAGTCTGTAAAATTGAGGGGAGAACAATAGTACAATCCACAATTAGTGATAACTGATACTAAAATTTAAGAAAATATGTATTACTGTCATTTTAAATGAAAAATTTCTTTTTTTACCAAAAATAAAGCAATTTGTTATGATGGTAATAACTGGCCTCTCCTGAAACCTTGGCTAATGATCAATAATATTAATTATTAACAACAAAAATAACTCTCATTAAAGACCCCTCCCATTACAGACCACCTCCAGTTAAATACCTCACCAAATCTCCTAAAGACAACAGAAGCCCTGTCCCAAAAGTAGTCTTTAATCTTTTTTTTTTCAAATCGTTTTTTAATTCAACTAATAATTTATGATATGTTACTATAATATTTTCTTATAATAAAACTTCACATGTAATTCCAATGTTGAATGAAAATGACAATAAATTGACTTGACAAATATATAAATAATATTCATACCAAATAGTATAATAAAATTTCTATCAGAAACTACTGCACATACTGATTATTGTTCTTATTACCCTATATGAATACATACGATACAGTACCTCTTTTTGTTTCTTCTCCTTTTCTGCTTCTTGTCTGATGCCTTTGAATTCAGTAAGGCCAACTTGTGAAAGCTTTTGTCTCAATCGTTCTCTCCTATCTGCTGCATCTTCAGCAAACAAGCCTAAGAGGGAAACAACAACAAGCAACGTCATTTTAATTATGATAATAAATGTTGTTATTACTGTACAATAATAACTACACCCTTCTAAGTGCAAAGATGTAAATTTTATTTACTACTAGTAAACATTTATATTTTTTCACATGAATAGCTCAGCGGTTCACATAAGTAGCTCAGTGGTTGGCCGAGAGGTTTTGATCGTAATTTGATTTCTGTATCAACGGGGACTATGTCTTAAAGGTTGACATTGCAATACTAACTTATTTAGCCTCCCTCACTCATATCTCAGCGATGTTGTTACCTACTATGTATATTTTGTTGTGTATTTTGTATGAGGTGGAAAATAAAGATTCTGATTCTCTGTAATTAGGAAGATTTTTTCTGGTGAGGGTTTGTTTTCGTGGGATGTTAAAATTCACAAAGTATATGTTGGCCTTGGCCCCTGGTTTTCCAGAACATTATGACACAGTTGAATGTTTTTGTACCTCCTCAAATTTAATAAAGTTGATGGCTGAATAATAATAAGAGTACGTTTTGTATAAATATTTAATATAATAATAACGCTAAAAAGAAAAGATCGATGTTTCGACTCCTTCATGGTGTCATTTTCAAGATCAAATGATGAAGTATAGAATATACAGCAACTATAATCAATAGAAAAAAGCTAATCTACAATGTTAAAGTTCATAACAGTGGGATATTAATTCCTGTGTTAGATAAAAAGCTTTGCTTTGACAGAGTCACATTGTTTATTCAGACTGGGTTTTAATTGTCTAATAAATAGCATTTCATGAATGAGACAAGTCAAATTTGTTCCTACATTTCTTTAAAATGCTGAAACATGACTCAATACTGCTTGGGCTGATATGATGGTCCTTAGCATGTTGTCCTAACAGAAATCTTATATGTTCAGCAATACGTTGGTAAAGGTGTCGGTTTGTGTATCCGACAAGTCACATTTAAATCTGTACACAACACACTGCTGATTTATGATTGTAGGTTTTCTTTCTGTTTTCTTAATATCATCACTTATTTTTCTGCTTGTGAAAACAGGAAAAATGTTTTGGTGTATTTTGTTGCTTAGTTGGCGTAGTTGACGCTTAACTGAGTTGGCAAATAATTGCAAATTCAATCAAATTTAGTGGCATATCACTGGGGTATGCCCCTCCCCCACCAAAATTTTCCATGCAAAAAAATCACGTTCAAGTAGATAAAAATCACCTCATATCCCCATATTTTGTGATATGCGATCTAGCGCCCCCTCATTAATTACTGAACCCCTTCACACTTCACCTTTGCCCAACATCAGCAATCCCCTAGTACAAGATTCCTAGATAAACTGAACAAATTACCCACTATAAAAATCCTCGCTTCAGCGTAAGATGCTATAGCAACAAAATGTGACACTACCTAAAAGTCTAATTGCTGCAGTGGTTCTGGCATTGGGAATGCGAAAACGACTGTTTTCCAGAATAAGTACATTTGTGACCAAAGCTCATAAACGGGCTGTAAACTCGTCCTCAGGCCAAAATGAGTTTTTGTTATAATGGCATAGAACATATCATTTACTTTAAAATGACAGTTAAATGAACTCAATTGGGTGTATGGAAGCAATGACCGTTTGAATAATTGTCATCTTATCAACTTTCTTAAATCAAGTTTTGAGAAAAATGCTTTTATTTTTTACTAGCTCCCATCCGAAAATGGCTAAATTTTACCTCTTACAGTTGGAATTTTAAACTCAAACTTCAGGAATAGTAAGATTAAATGTTATACTTGATTTATTACACAAAATCCCAATTCACACAAAATTCACGTTCTACACCTTATTCTGGGTATTGAGGCTTGTTTCTCAATACAGTGCAGTGCAAGTTTACAGCCCTTTTGTGAGCTTGGGTCACATTTAACAAAAATAAACAGCGTTCTCAATTGGAATGTTTCTGAAATAATACCTGTATAGCAAAATGTTCATGTTGTAAATGAACATGTCATTACATAAAATATACACTTACATATTGGTTCTCCAATTTCTCTTAGTTTAGCTTTCACCATAGAATCATCAGTGGACACATGGAGGGTTCTTGCCTAAAAAAAATTAACAAAAAAAAAAAAAATCATTTTTTAGAAAGCAAAAACTGTACTGCAGTCAATATTAAGTTAAATTTCATGAATTTACAAATGAATTTTCAAATCAGATACATCTTTTTTTGAATATATTATTTTAATAACTGAGGAAATAGGGATGTTGTGCTTCTTTTTTCTCTAAAGCTTTGTCTACACTATCACATTTCATCAAAATAAGCGTCACATAAAATTTGATGGAACATAGAGTTGAACACGTTCAACTTTTGTTGATACAATTTAATGATATGTGAAATGACGTCATTATGCCCATATATGGGCACATCACATTTTTTTGTCAGATAAAACTGATAGTGTAGACAAAGCTTAAGGTTCTTAAAATATTATCTAATTAGCCATTTCCAATTATTTCATCAAACACCCTAGCAGGGTCTAAGAAAATTCATTTGCGCAACATAACAAATCATTTTTTCCTCTAGAGCCAGGCTTCAATTTTTAGTTTTTATCTTCAATAATCACAATCATTGTGTCATCCTTTCCAACATGTAAAATAATTCTTACCCTTTTCCTTCTGGCAAACTCTGCTAAAAGATTTTTCTTTTGTTCAGAAGTATGTTCCTCCAAATTGAATGTTTCACCTTGAAAAGAAAAAACAAATATCAAAACACATATAAAAAGAACTTCCAGCTAAACAGTCTTCTCACTTCCACCATTTCGTTCCATGCAACCTCTCGTTCACATATATTTTTGTGGCTGGTCCTACATTCTGAAATCATTACTGGTGTATCTTGAACTAAACAACTATTTTTTCAGGTACTACTGCTTACTTAATCTAATTATATAGTCAGGCTTATCCATATTATTGTCTTCTTGCCATTTGTCAATGTTATTAGTACGACTGCATGCCACGTTTACAAGCTTTACTTTTTTGGTTATGCCACTTGTTAATAATATGATTTGCCAGTAAAATAAATTGATTGATTGGTAGTATGAGCTACTGTAGTCCACACTTTGAGCGCTCTGATCTTCATGAAACAGCGCTAAATAAATGATGGTATGTATGTACTGTATGTATGATGTATGTATAGAGTTTTTTTATTTTTGTAAGGAAAAGTGAATTGCTGATAGAATAAGATATTTGTTTAATTGTAGCTCAACAAAGACAGCATATTTTTGATGCATGGAAATTTATACATACAGGTACAAATAATATTATTAATGTTGAATGTCAATAACAAATAATGGACAACAATAATCACTGGGTCATTCCGTGTCAAATCAACCAGATTTAAAAAAAGTTCCTGTATGACCCTCTCAGATTTTGATGAAACTCCATAAAAATGATCCACTATGTGAAAAACCAACACTTAAAAAAAATTAGTGTTATAGGTTTTGTAGTTTCTGAGATATTGACTCCTCAAAAAAGGGGCATTCAGGTAGAAGAAAAACTTTTTTAATCTGGAAATTTTAAGGAATCATAACCCACACCAGTAGTACTTATATATATATATATATATATATAGTTAACCTAAGTAAGCTAAAAAATGTTAAAAATCTATGATCCCATGGCATGAAATGATTCAACTCTTAAATTTCGTTATTTCCGATTAATGTTAAAATATGTGTCGTTTTCAACATAGTATCTAACCATGAAGGAGCTGACTACCAAAGCTGAAATTTGGTGTATAAGTAGATCTAATATATCTGGTTAACTGGTGTAAATTTAAGAAAAGATTTTAACTGTCCACATGACGAACCGTTAATGGGAAACATAGGCTTTTTTCACTTTTTTAGGGCTGGTCCCAACTTTGAATGGATGCTATTCCATTTAATTAATTTGATCAGCCTGTGCTTGCTTGTGGCTAGAGACAACTACCCATAGATAATATATCTGTAATTTAAGATGTATACACTCACTCATATGGACACGTACACAGGGTGACATCGAAAATCACAAAAAAATTGCGTAGTTAAACAAAGTGGCTATTTTGGGTGCAGATAACTTCAACAGAGAAGGGGTAACAGTTAATCTGATGTCATATTTGTGTAATATGGTGGAATATTAGAATAATACCAAGTTTGACCTTGATAGCTATTACCAATCCTGAGTTATAAGCTCCCAAAGTTGGAGAAAATTGCGTTTGCGCATCTTGGAGAGCCACACCCCTTTTTTGGGGCGTCAATATCTCGGAAACTACATATCTAGTAGTAGGGCTAATCGTTTGTGTATGTTGATTTTTCACATAGTGGATCATTTTTATGAAGTTTTATGAAAATCCGAGACGGTCGACCTGGGACCTTTGGTTGATTTGACACGGAATTACCCCACTATATACATACCTTTGGATATGTTGATATTACCCGCAAGAATACCAGAAGCGATCGCATCATCTCCTCCTTCCTTCCTTAACGTCTCCTCCAACGTCCCATAATGCACTTTCTGCTTCTTGAAGGCTGGGCCACTGTCATCTTCTGACATTTTGATACTTTCAAAAGAAATTGAAAAATCAGCTCAAATCCTAGCAAAATCCTAGTTTTATTTTTGCACAAATTTGTAGTCGTGTCTGTTTAAGTTTAATCAAATAAAAATAAGTCATAATTATGCTTTTAGAAGTAAATAAATATTTGTAGTTTTTGTTTACAAATGCACAGCATTGGCTAAAAGGGTTATGTGCACTTTCTGATAAGATATCCTCCGCGCAATTAAAAAAAATTACAGTATGGCTCTAGCCTACGCCTAGCCTAGGCCTAGCTAGGCTAGGTACTAGGGCCTAGCCTAGGTAGGCCTAGCCGGCGTTGAAACAAAATTAAATGACTATTTCTCTAGAAAAAAAAAGTTAAAAGCTAAAATAGAATATTTATTATTTGCACAGTTCTGTGGTTACAATAGATTGTAAATTATTACTACTGAAATATTAGCCTAGGCCTAGGCCTAGATAACTCACGTTTGTAAAACGTTCAACTCGCCGCGCTTGTTGTTTGTTGTAACACTTTGTTGTTACTTGCAATTGGAATGAGGTAAAAGAGAGGGCGTGCTCCAGCAATAATATACAGCCTCGAGGTATATTTGGTATACCAGAAACGGACTTCTATTCGGTCATGTTCCAACTCCAGAGCTATAATCAGTGGCGGATCCAGTAAACGGAAAGCTGAATATTCATAATTCTTCTCATATAAAATATATGAATTCCCATTGAATGAAAGAAAAAATCATCATCAGAACACTAATTTCAATATTAATTGAATGAACAATCCTGTCTAGGAATTACGCCCGCAAAATAAAAAAAAATAAAAAAAATAAAAAAAAAATTGTTCGTGTGGGAATCGAGCACACAACCTCAAGTTTTGCTATCATTATTCACCATCAACTAAACTGCCTTAAAATTTTTTTTTTTTTTTAAACTGGCTCGTGTGGGAATCGAACCCACGACCTTCAAAAATTATATAAAAAGATAAAAAAATAAAAAATTTGCCCCGTGTGGGAATCGAACCCACGATCGCTGAGTTTACTACTCCTGATCCAGCATGACTAAACGGAGGGAGGTAAACCGCGGCCCCTAAACCATAAATGCGATAAACCAAGTACCACACCAAGTACCAGTTAGTCAATTCTTACCTTACTAGAAAAAATTCTTCGTATATATACACTGCAGGTTAATATTACGCATGGTCATGGTGTCAAAAAAAAATGGGCCGTGGGCCAAGAGGGTTTATTTTTTGTCTAAAAATGTATAATTAAATTTA